CTTCAGTCACCAGAGCGATTCACAAGAAAATTGGACATTCTTGCCTCTGGAATGACAACCACCAATGAGGTAGAATAGACATCTAGAAGAGAAGATGTAACACCTTTAGCTCATTAGTCTTAATCCTCTATCTCATATCAGCCAGAGTTACTAGGAAACGGCTGCAACATATTTAAGAAGTTACTGGTGCCCTCATCCGTTTCCTGCCACCCTCTTGAAGACTCTTCTACCCCCACACAGCAGACTGCAGAGCAGATGGAGTATGTGCACCCACTTCAGCACAAAGTCTGGCACCCCAGAGGAAGCCACTTCTCACAGCTGTTGCCCAAGTGGCTAACAGCAGCCTAGACTCTGCACCAGGGATGTTAACTACATACACTGATGAAGGTGTTTTGGGCTGCCACTTGCTAAGTGTCTAAGCCCTAGGAACGTTTTTAAATCAAACCCTGTACGTTACATTTAATTGACATGAATTGGTTTTCCTTAGTGTCACTTCAGTCCAGAATCCTTATTGCAAGAACACAAAATAGCCAGTGGCTTTGGCTGCTCTCAGTGGCTTCCTCCCAGCTTCACGGCCCACTGCTTTTTAGAGTTCTCAGTCTATTTTTAACTGCAATTTAAGAAAAAAAAGCTATTTAAAACAAGCAGCATAAAAAGAAGTATCATTTGCTTTGCATGATTATTATGTGCATAGTAATGACAGGAAGACTACTGCAAATGTTTTCCAACTCAAAAAAAAAAAAGAAGAAAGCTTCCTTTGCAATATATAATTTTGAATTTTAATTTAGATAACTTGTATTATTTACTGGCAACAAAATATGCATATTCATGAGATCTGATTTACTATAATCTTTATTTCTGATGTTCTGCATCTGTGAATACTTGAAGTACTTGAGTTTGCATTCATGGGCAATTATACAGGAATCTCAGAGCAGCAACAGATTGATTTATAGTTAAGCATTTGTAGCACAGAAGGCCAATTCATTTTCTTTCAGAAGGGCTGTGGCATGAGATTTGGGATTGATGCTTCCACCTTCATTTTTGAACAAATTACTTTTTCTTGTCTAATAGACATTCAAATCAAGGTCATTATAATGATGGTCAAAACAGTCATTTTTAGATGCATTCTTTCTACCAGCAGTTAGCAAAGGTTTGAGGAAGAAAGTTAAATAGACAGCAAGTAGAAACCTAAAATTTTCCTGTGTAAACAAATGGTGCTTTCAAGGGGAAAAATAAACATGCCATTTGGTCATTCCACCTTCACACCCAAGAGCTCCCTCAAGTTCCCTCATGCTGACTACCAAGGCTGGGCTTGCCTTTCTTGTCATTCATTCCAGCCTTCTGAAGTACAAAGATTCTTCTAATAAAACAACTTTAATTAACTTCCAAAGGTAATTCATAGGGAGAATGAAACAAACCCAAAATAAATCTATGAGAAGTACAACAGGAGAAAGTACGATGAATACAGGTTTTGATGCATATACCGAGTAAATAAGATAGAACTCATTGAAGTATGAAACAGTCCCTCTCTTTTTACACTCATACTCCTTCAAATGAAAGCACACAACTGCAGAGCCTTCCCAGGAAAGCTGCTCCCTCATCTTCCTCTCCTTGTGAGACAACAGACCAATAAATACTGGTAATGACAGAAAGAAAAAAAAAAATAGAAAGGATGTGCAACGTGCTTTTAATATCAGGTTCTGATCATGGTATTTAGATCAACTCAGGGTAACTGTTGCTTTGGTGAGTCTCACTTTTGGTGAAAACACACACAATGCTCTTGCCAGTACCTAGCTGATGTTTCTAAACCTTAAAAAACCCCACACATAGGAACAAAAACCTCTTATAATCTTTATTTTCCTCACAGTCTACTGTAATTCCACAGCATTACTCCAAGACATATAGAGATAATGAAAACAACTGCAGTTTCTCATAGCTATAGCACGAAGACCTACCTCTGAGAGCAAATCCACGATGCTGTTCATTTCAGGTAAAAAAGAACCAGAATTTATGCACACCAGATCATACTTTGTTGTTGGGTACAACTACATTAGACATACCCCTGGCTAACAAAAGTACCTTGTTCTGAACAATTGCAGTATTATCTATCGCATCTGTCAGCTAAACTGTCTCATGTGAGTAAATACATGCCTCTTTCTTTTTTTTGTCTCACAAATATTATGCTAATTTTACCCCCATGGGCTTTAAACTCATCTTGTCCTCTGCTCCTGGCAGATGTGACAAGCTCACATGTTATGAGCATTATAAAGAAAATGCTGTGCTGTAGGGGAGGGTAAAATACTGCCTGGAACAGGTGTTGGCTGTTTGCAATTTGCCACCACTTGAAGTGCAACTCATCCTCCCTCCTTTTTTAAACAAAAGCATAAAGTACTTTAGAAATAATGCTTACAACAAATGCAAAACAAACTTGTTCATAAGCAGAAAACTTAGAGGCAGAAAAACACTCTGTCTCAGAAGACAAAGGATGACTTCTTTGACTTGTGCGTTCAGTTGCGGACTATCAGTCGAGCTAGCTAAAAGTGGTGCCAGGAATGCTGCCTAAAAGCTAAATAAATTTCACGAAGATTCTTGAACAAGACAAGCTGACAGATGGATTTAAACTCTTTCAAGCCCTTCTGAGATTCAGAGAGCTTCCTCCCATCTGCAAGACACAAGTATCTTCAATATATTTTTTTCTTTTAAACCATATTTAAAGGTAAAAAAAGCTTAGGGCTGCATTTTTAGGCTGCATTATTTATTAATCACATATTAACATCTATTTTCTTTGAGGAGTCAGAAGATCAAATATAGACAAGAGGTTTGCCTTCCTAAAAACCTTGCATTACAGAAAACATCATTTCACTCCTTAAGAGAATTTTAAGCCTTTCAACCTCTCCATAGTAATCATCACAAAATAGCTTGAAAGTTTTAGAGTGAAATAGAAATAACACTCCAACAGTTTTAGGAAAGCAAGTATGTAAGCACCTTTAACCCATTTTAAAGATGTAACAGGCATTATCGGTCAGCAAAATGCCTCCTTCAGCCATTTCTCAGCCTTTATAAGAAACTGGTATTCACTTTTGATAAAATAACAGATAATGGAACGTTTGTTAAATAAATAAATAAAAACTTCTCAGGCCTCGAGCATGCCCTAAACAGAAGCTCTCTATAGTAAGCAACTGCCTTTATTTGCCTAAAGTTAGTTCTGAAGCAGAACATTTTCTGCTCCTAGAATAGTTTTAAACGCTGTTTTAAGTGTTTTTCAACAATACTATACCTTTTCCAGATCTTATAACACAACTATTGATCTCAAATGAAAAAAGAAAATTTATACACAACCTGACTTGATACCTTCAACAAACCGGAATTCCCTTTCACTGGAAACACATTCACCCTAACATAACCCTGAGTAACTCCTGTAAGTTTTCTGAGCAGAAAGGATGTTTGTGATTTGACCCAACCAAAGGCACACCGAAGGGCGATGAAGGCCCGCGCGTTTGTAAATGGCCACCTGAGTCCCACACAAAGCTTGCCAAGCACAGGCTGCTTTAGGCAAGAGGTCGATCAGGTCCTTCTGTTTAGTCGTGACTCTCTGTGAATGTACAAAACTATTTCTGAGGGGCTCGAAAGCACTGAGGGAAAAAAAAAAAAAAAATCCTTTCTCATTTATATGCGTATACAATTTTGGCACTGTCGGAGGCAGAAGCAGTCTCACAGCTAACTCGCACCAAAAAGCGTTTTCAACTCCCCTGGCCTGAAAACCAAGCCAGGAGCTGGAACGAACATTTAAAAGTCGCTTATGGGAGGGCTCGGCTGCACGGTCGGCTTCCCGCCGAGCGGCCGCACAGAGCCCCTCACAGCGCCGGGCGCGGCCGCCTGAGACGGGGGGCGGCGGAGCCGGACCTTACCGTGGCCGCTGCCACAGGGGGGCAAAGGCTGCAGGAGCGCGGGG